GAAGTTTAAATTAGATTGAGATTATACATTACCTGATTTGGAAATTATGATCGTCAAATATTTATTAAGTATTTGATAGTCAAATTTTTATTTGATTTTGGCGAGCACTACTCTTGATATATTAAAAAATTCATTCTAAAAAAAAACAGATTAAAAAACATTTTTTAAAAAATATAAAGTTAAGTAGTAAATATTCAAGCCAAGCAACTCTGAATATATACAGTATAATATTTAGTAAATAAAATCGTAAATATTTATTATACTGTTATACAGTATATTAAATAATTATAATTAAAATAAAATAAATATGCTTAAAAGTTTTATTATTTAATTAAAAAAAAAGGTATTACATACAATTATTATATTTTTTTTTATCATAATAAAAAAATTCTGCTTATATAGGATTAGACATATGTTTGGTTTTATTAGATGATCAGTCACCTCAGTATCACGGGTCTGAACAGTAATCTTTCATTAAGACTTGAACATTATTGCAAGGACACCCGTTACAGGTCAGGACAGTAAAGTCTTCCACTCCGCGGACAAGACTTACAACATTGTTACCTTTGACAAAACATGGCACCGAATCTTCTATCTTCTAATAAGTCGCTATTACAAAGCCCGCCAAACCAATTCAGCATTTGTAACAAATGGCTTTGAAATTCAAGTTTGTCTCAGTTTAATAATGTATCTAATGGTGGATAAATGCGCATTTTCCGGAATCATGTGCATGATTAAAAAAAAGGAGCGAGGGCCCATCATACATAAATAAATAAATTTAATATTGTTTACATGTATAATAAATAAGGCTAATACGTGTCAAAATTTAGCTACTTAGGCATATAGTTTTCTATATAAATTCTTGAATAGCGAATCTTCTATTTCGTCAGTTCTTCCATTTTTTCAGCATTTAGTCCATATAAATTCCGAATTTTGTTTAAATTTGGCAGACCGTAACCATATTTAAAAAGTGGATGCCTTTTACTGTGACGTGTTATAAGATCCGATAAATTGCACTTTCTGCGTACCGTATCCTGCCGTGAATAAGCACCCACCTTTTACAATTTACATATCCAAGTTTCTCATGATCTAGTGATCGGATCTGTATAATTTTGGTACTATTCGAATCAACTTATCAAAACGATTTGAATAGTATCAAAATTATACAGATCCGATCACTATATCATGAGAAACTTGGATATGAAAATTGTAAAGGGTGGGTGCTTATTCACGGCAGGATACGGTACTGATTAATTTACTAGTATATATTTTATTTGGATGCTTCTGTAGTTTGAAATTTGGGTTGATTTCATCAGTACCAAAAATTTCTTTTTAATTTCATTCGTCTCATCCGCATTCTTTACGATTTCATACCATTCATAAAGTTTATCACAAATACTCCAAACATCAGGTCGTTTTTTGATTCAGAATGCATACATTGCTTTGCCAATTCGATATAGCAATCAGGAGTTCCTCCGGTCGTGATCCAAGAACAATATCTAATGAATATTTTCATCGAACAGTTCACCATCAAAAGCTCTCTGTCCCGTTGATATTTCCGTCATGATAATACCTAACGCATAGATATCGGCAGATTCTGTGAACTCTTTACCTGATAAAACCTCAGAGCAATATAAGGAGTAACCCCATAAATTTTGTCATCTTGTTCATTACAAGTTCTAACATCCACAACAAATGAATTATCTAAAGAATGCAGTAAAATGTTTCCACCATGTAAATCTTGACGAGTAATTGATTTGGAATGCATTAATTTAAGTTGTGAAACAATACTATGTAACAATTTCAGCTTATTTTCCCATTTCATTTGAGATACATAATGAAGATTTTTACTTAAAGAACCCAATTCCACATAATCCATTACAAGGATAAAATGTCCAGAAGGATCTTTTGACATTTCGAAACATCCCAAAATGATACATATTCTAATCTAAATGCTGGATCTAATGCTCCATACATAGAAGACATTATATCCAACTTCGCGATAAGTGTGCACCCTTTAAAAAAATATATTGGCTGTATAATCTAATGTTGAAATAAATTTTTAAATAAAAAATTACCTTTATTCCAAGCTTTATTTAATCATGTAAATCATGAAATACTTTCAGCGCAACTGTTCTAGCTCCCTCTTCTCTAAAACCTTCAATTTGCCACATAATATCATCATACCAAGATGCCTTATATACAGTTGCAAATCCTCCTTCCCCAATTTTTTCGAATTCATTAAGTTTATAATATGGAATCCGGGAGAATCTATATTCCATGTACTCCTCATAATCCCAACCCTTGTTAAAAATGGTAAAATCAAAACAAAAACATCCACCATTTTTATTAAATGCATCACAATATTCATAGTTATCTGATTCACAATAATAACTATCCATTTCATAATTACTACCATTTCTATTCCACTTCCCCTGCTTTCGCAAGGGGAAGTAACCATATTTTTGTAATTCATATCTTCTGTTTCGTACAAATTTTTATTAGTTAAACATGAAGAACACAATTTACTTCCAAAAGTTTTATGTCCACAGCCCAGAAATTCCATTTTGTTCTCATAACTGCCACTATCAGTTTCATCCTCTGTTTCTGAATGCATTGAATGACTCTCGTAAATGTAAGGCAGGCAGGCTTGTACTAATCACAATTTGTCGCGTAGATTATATGGACAAATCATATGTTCTGATTGGCTTGTTTAATTTTAAGGCTAGCATCACCACTATTTCACCAGCCAATCATATTTCAATATCAGGTGTAATGCAAAAAAATCAAAAAAAATCGGTCATAACTCAACATTTTACTATGAACCTGTTTTCTGCGCACTAACTAAAAGTTTTACGTATAAAAAAGTTCGACGAGATCGAGCTCTTTTTTTTTTCACTGTAATTACTGATAAACAGTTTATAATACTGCAGTCGGATATTGATTCACAATTCAATCCTGCACTAGATCTAATGCATATAGTGATCTCGAATTAATAATAATAATTATATAATTATTACAACCGACTCTGGATATACCGAACCGAAATCGGGCTATAACAGTTGATCAACATGTCACACATAAAAATTTTTCATATGATCTTCACAAATTACACAAATCGACGAATTTACATTTTTGGTTTTTCGTCTAAAGTCTTAGTTAAAATACTCAAACTTCTTTTAAATAACGTTAATGCTGGAGTTTTTACAAACACAACAGTATAAAAAACGTTAAGAACCAATATTTCTCTGTAACATGCGACGCCTTCAAAGATGGCAGCCATTTTGTCTTCTTTCGTAAGATTCTTGCTCAGTTTTCAAGATCTTAACATAAAAAAGGCCTTGTTAGGTGCGCATGAGCAAGATCTTTCAGCAAAATGCATCCTTGAAAGGGTGGTGTGTTATAAAAGTTTAGAGAAAATCGAAAAAAACTGTTTTATACTATATAGATTTCCGTTAAGGTAAAATATTTTATTAAATTTATTTATTCTGTTATATTTAATACCAATAATACATAATAATTTAATAATTTATATAATCAAACAATTAATTAAAAAAAAAAAAAGTTAGTTCGATCTTTTATATCGGTTATACCACCGATCACGAATTCGCTTTGGTGTCCAATAATCAGTATGATGTGATAATTCTGCTTCTAACTTAACAACAAATTCTTTAGGTAATACAGTAGAATCCCCATATCTTTCAAGTTGTTCCAGAATAATTTCTTCAATAGGTTGGGGTTTGTGTTTTGTACGTGGCGTTCGAGATGTGGAGCCAGAAGACTGTTCAGTCGAAGACAATATTACTGGTTGTAAACCCTCATTTGTATTATCAATTTCCATGTTATATGATTCTGAAACTTGTGTGGAACTACTACTTATTGTATCAATATTAACTGATTGATTATCTTTTTCACGTTTTCTTTTTGTCGCACTCATAGGTATCAAATCTCTTTTACCACGACCAGTTTTTACACGAGGAGTAATATGTTGGATATCTTGTTCAACAATCATAGTCATTCTATTAATTCCTGATTGATAACACCTAAACATTCGCTGATAGCCAGCATCTGTCAATTGTGTGGTTTCTGCAAATACGTTGTGTGATTCTGGCTGTAGGCTACTAAATCCGGATTCAAGCTCTTTAACTAATGTCCAAAGAGCATCTCGACGATCCTTAACAGACCGTGGGCTTTTGCTTACTGATTTATCACCAGTAAATTCTGAAATTAAAAAGTTAAGTTGTTCATGTTCTGCTTGTGCTGCTTTGATATTTCTTTTTAGATTATCCAAATTAGTTGTTTGGCCGGTCATGTTTTCTTTTACAAATTTAACACCAAATGTCTCTAAAGCCTCATCAAAAGCAAAATAATGTCCCTCCTGAGTCATATTAATTGAGGGTACACTTCGAAGGTCTTGAAGAAATTGCGGATTGGTTTGAAGATCCGTCAAAAATCGTGCCACAGACTCAGCATATCTTCTTTTCCCTGTTATTGGAAATACAGGGACGAATGCCATCAAGCTATGCATTTGCAAATCAAAGTTTGCCATGCGAATACCAAGCTTGTGTAATTTTAAATATCCTGCCCATTGATAAAATTTATACCATATTTTTATTATATTATTGTCTTCATTTGGAATGTCTTTAACAGAAATATTTTTTTCTTGAGAATATAGATGAATCGCAATCCCAACCGCAACCCAAATATGCTCAAGTACTCGAAATGTTGCTCGATAATCAGCAACTTGCTCGAATTTATCAAGAAACTTAACACCAAGCTGTGCAGCAAGTCCAAAAAGCCCATATCCTGAAAAACCAGAAACTAATGCGCTACACATCGCCTTGTTTGTATGCCATTGTCCTAGAATACAGTGTACTTCCTGTTCTTCATTACTGTAGTCTTTCATGCGAGAATATATTGCTTCATCGCATACCAAATTTAATATACCATTCTCTGTATACCCGAAATCTTCCAGGTACATGTCGACGGCTTGGTGAACGTAGTCATTTTTACTTGGTGCTTCTCCTGCTTCAAGAATCACGATATTTGGAGGTGCTACAAATGGTGCTGAATTTATTTCCTTTCTAATAGCTGCATCAACATATTCGATACCCAAATTTGACTCTTGGCTAATTAATTGACTAAAAATTGCATCTATTTTTATTTGCCATTCTTCTATAATAGGACTTATGCCAAAAATATCTTTGATTTCTGGCAATTCACTAGGTAAATCGGCAGTCTCTAAACGTTGGAACTGAAAGACCATCCGCAGTGTTGCATGTGCAGTACCACGGACTACATCATAAATATTTCCATACTTGAAGGTCTTGTCCTTCATATCGATGTTATCTATAACGGCATAGTTTAAAACATTTGGATTTAGATTAAGCCTCGATTTTGGATTTGCATCTGACATTCGCTTATTTCGAAGACGTGTTTCATGACCTCTAACATATGCCACTACTTGGACTGCATGAAGAACTTTATATAAGGATCCTATCATTCTTGGCCGTTGACAAAGAGAAGAAAGCACGTGTGTAAACCAAATTTTCCACTGAGGAAATACAATGGTAAGTATTACTGATGCAAAAAAAAGAGTGACTGTTTTTGCTTGTTTTTCATCTAATTGTGGTGGCGGTAAGCCACGCTCTTTTCTTTTTCTTGCTAAGACTTGATTCTTTTTTTCTTTTAGGGTTGTAATCAACCCAAAAAAGAAGTTTATAAGGGGCGACGGCATTGCGTCATAATATTCATCTAATGATTCCGGTTCTTCAAGTGATGATAGTTTTTGTTTGAGATTAGATCGTTCTTGTAATATAGAGCGAGCTAGAATTTTGCCAAAGTCTTTACACGTGGTGGGTTTTAATTGTGTTGCTTGTGTCTCTTCATTAATTTTAATTTTTTTTAGTTCAAACAATGTTTTAATTAGGAAAAGACTAGGAACTACAGAATCAGTATAAATAGTAGAAGGCATAGTAATAGCGTCTTGTGACTCAGAAGTATTTGTGGTAATGTTATTAAAGAGATTAATAAGTTCTTTTAATAAATTAATCTTATTAATGTCGTTGTTTGATTCAGCAATTTGCTCAATCCACCTACTAAATAATTTTAAAGCAGCTGTAATATCGGCATTATGTTTTCCCTTTTCTAGACAAGATTGATTATCTTTTTTTTTTTGAATATGTAGATGACCCCCATTTATCACAAAACAGTCAGTGCAAACAAAACGAAGGTGGCTGTTATCCAATGATTCGGTTGATAGTCCCTCATAATTATTAATTGCTGGGCATTCTAGCAACCCACGGCATGGTACTTGAATAATTCGATCATAAACTTTCCGCGTATGTAATGAACATGTTTTACCTCTTGTAACAAACTTTTTAAATTTATTGCAAAATAAGCAGCGACGCATACTAATATTGCTTTCTTTAATTGATAATGTTGATTTTATACCATTATGTAAAACCTTTTGATCATAGTTGTGATGTTGCGTACAAACACCCAGCTTTATACCTTCATTCTCAGCATCTTTTATGGCCTGAACGTCGATCTCTCATGTGCCACACAGTTGTTTTACACTTCGAACTGCTTCTTTATTGCATCTTTGGATTATGTTTAGATCATTGCCATTGTCAATAATGACACAATTTGTATATTTTTTAGTATTACTTGAACCCGAAGGAATAGGCTTATCAGATTCCTCCTCGAGTGTTTCCATATTATTGTCACATTCGAATAATTCATCATTATCAAGAAATTCATTATCTATTTCCTCAATAGATTCGGCGATTATTTCTTGTATCTTTTCAAATGAACTCCAGTCAAATGGAAGAACATCATCATCTGTACCTTCTTGTTCGATGTCAGCATTAGATTCTTCAGGGCCATACGAAGTCTCATGTAAGAATTCCATTATTGATTGAAATTTTTTTTTTAAAATGCGTTTGATTAAGATATTAATCTTATTTGACTATAATAGTGAACGGTTTTGGATCTGAAATAATAAGCAAGTTAAATGGTCCACTATTTATAAGAAATCTGGCGAAAATAAAATCTGTTGAGAGATTTCTAATACACGGTCTGTAGTGTGATTGCTTGTGCTTAAGCGAAAATCTTTAATTCTAAAATATTAATCTTTTGTTTTTGAAATATACGAACCTCTGAAATTCGAAATCCAAACGAAACAAAAGATTTTTACCAGAACTGAAGAATTTCATTTACTTCTCTATTTTAGTGTATCATTTTACTTTATCTATTTTTCTTATTTAGGGAAGAGATCGATGTATCACGATTTATAAGAAATAATCAAGAAATTTTAATGCGCGGTTTGTATTGTGATTGCTTGTGCTTATGCGAAAATCTTTTGATTCTGATATATTAATCTTTTTGTTTTTTTGAATACTGAAACCCAAGCGAAACAAAAGATTTTTATCAGAGCTGAAAATTTTCGGTTTACTTTTTATTTTAGTGCATTATTTACTTTATCTATTTTTCTTATTTGGGGAAGAGATCGATACATCACGATTTATAAGAAATCTGGTGAAAAATAGTCAAGAAATTTTTAATGCGCGGTTTGTAGTGTGATTGCTTGTGCTTTTGCGAAAATCTTTTAATTCT